AAACCTAAAATTTCGTACTTTAACAAATAAGACAATGAGAGATATTAACTTGCATCTCTAATCTAATCCCGCCAAAAATACTCTTTCGTAGTAATCTTACGTTGGATTTTGAAAATTGTGTCATATTCTAAAATTTTCTCGAGGGTGCAAAAGTGTTTTTTTCGAATCAGTACTTTTCCCACATAACGAACAGTCTTTCCCTGCAAGGTCTTAATAAAGTCACATAACAGATTTATATATGTGAGACTATATTTTTAAACCAAATGTAAAAGCATTTCAAATGAGAGCAAAATATTTCTTATCTTTATAGCTTTAAGTTTAATGATGCCTTTAATATTTATAACGGCCAAGTTTTACTTTACTTGAAAAAAAAAAAAACATTTAAATATTTTTTGAAAATGTTACCTCCACTTTGTCACGTTGCATTCAAGCAAAATTGGCTTGAATATTTATGTATGTTTTGTTTTAACTAAAATTACTAATTTAATTATACTTATCATTTATTCCCCACCTTCCTCTTTCTCTTTGCAGCATTGTTTTACCTAACAAGTAACAACAAAAAAAAAACCAGAAGAAATATCTCAACACGGTTAGCTACCACAAGGTAAGAATTCAAGAATTTAATGTTCATTTCGATACACCACAAACAACAGCAAAAACAACAACAAATACAGAAACACAAAAATATTACATAAAAGAAAAACCAACAAGAAGTTCTCACCCATGTTAATGTAATGCAACCCGCAATTTGCCGTGAAATGAATTCGGTGAGAAAAATAACAATTATATTGACGAAACCCACAATTATTCTAAGAAGTAGAAAAAGAAGAAGAAGAAAAAATTCAAAACTAAATTAAATACAATCTGCCACCAGATTGTGGCTGTAACTTCTGCCGGCACCACGGCCACAGACATCGGTTACAGAATCGAAATCAAAGACTGTTTGCTTATTATTCCTCCCCTAGTCGTAAAGAGAAGTCGAGAGCTGTGATTAAATATTCTACTTTTTGGGCATCATCCACCTCGTCAGCCAAGTCAACTGACTAAGTGCGAAAGATAAGAATAGAAATTAAACGAAACGAAATGAAATGAAATCATTTCACTTTTCAGGCAATTAAAAACCGCCACCAAAACGGGATTGTTTGAATTTAGAGAAGTTGGCGAGTGCGACACAAGAGCTGGGAATATTCAACGGCCATAAATGGACTGATTAAAATAAAGTCAAATATAAAGCGATGATACCTTTTAATAAACTCCAAACGAAGCAGAGGTCGTAAAAATGTCTTAAATATGTCTTCTATCTTCAGTTGGCAGAGATTCCCAAATGTTGTCATTTCACGTGAATATTTTGGGCTGGGATACTTTTTATACCCTACAATACTATGTGTTGGGGGTATTATAAGTTTGATTGGACCAGAAATTATGTAACACTTCGAAATATTGGTTTCCCATATAGGAAAGTATATATGGATCTTCCTAGGTCGCCGAGCTGAGTCGATCTAGCTATGTATGTCCGTCCGTCCGTCTGTCCGTCTGTCCATGTTAATTTGTAATCACGCTACAGGTCGCAATTATGGTTCCATCCTAACGAAATTTTGCACGAAGGTGGGGTTAGGGTCAGAATAGAAGCCTATTTCTTTTGGAGATGATCGCCAAATGTTTAGGAGTTGAAATGGACCAAATACTGAGAAATGTCGGATTTTGCAGTAGCTATACAGGTCGCAATTATAGACCAATCGACGGAATTTGGCATGTAGGTAGAGTTTAGGGCGGGGAAGAAGCCTACCAATTTGGGTGGTCATCGGATAATATTTAGCTGGTAAAATAGACCACACCTTTTGTGTTAAAAAATTCAAAATTTTTCATTAAACCGCGAATATTTTAAATCCCCGCAACATCACAAAGCCATGACAAGGTTACTCCTGATCTTTACATTGATGTTAACATCCAACAAATCGGATATATAGCAAAATTTGTGCGATATGAAACTTATTTCTATCAAAGAAGATATGCTTGAAAGATCTCTTATATATCGAGAACGGCTGAACTGATTTCGACAGTTCTCATTGATTCAGAATGGCTTCTTGGCAGGAAAGAAAAAACGTCTAAAAAAATCGCATAAAAATATCTCTCTAAAGATGAAAATATTGATTTTGTAACATTTTCTCATATTTTTTCAATTTTGTTAAATTTTTGGCATATTTTCATTTTGAGTTAAACATTTGGTAATATTTCTACAGCTAACAAAAAAAACCTAACGAAATTTTGCATGGGGATAAGAAGAGGGTCAGAATAGAAGCCTACTCTTTTGGGAGATGATCGCCATATATTTAGGGGTTGAAATGGACCAAAAAACTGCAAAATTGTTGAGAATAGAAAAAGTTTTAATAAACCGAAAATTAACAGTCGAAACCATAAACATATAACATACTCTTTTAGTATATAAAACACGAATTTAATTTTCAAAATAAGTATAACCGTCATATATACAGGGTGGGATAGCAACAAAGCCAAACGCCATAATTTTTCGCATTTTTTTTTTTTTTAATTTTATTAAATGAAAGCAAAAGATGTCGGAAATAGCATCAAATTTTAGAATAAGTTTAAATTTGTTCGAATTGGTCCCCATTGGCACGAATTATGGGCTTCAAACTACCAAAGAAATCGTCACACGCTGCCCGTATGTTGCTCTGCGGCATTTTGGCCCATTCCCAAAGCTGGAAATGAAGCAAGGAACTTCATTTTATAACCATTCTTGGGGGATGCGTGCTGAGTGCGATGGTGCTGAGTCCTGTTGGAATGTCCAAGGTCTGCGGCAACAATGTTTGCGTGCCAAAGGCTTTAATACACCCTCCAGAATATTTTCGCGATAACATTCAGCATTTATTCGAAGCAACTCTTTAGCTCTTTTGAGTCTATTTTCTTTCTGTTGCGGTGTATGTTCTTGCACTTTTTGGAATTTCAATGGCTTTACTCCGAGCTCATTTTTCAATATTTGCCGAATGGAATATTGCGATATGTTCAGCTCACGAGCCATTTTTTGGCTACTGCGGCGCGGGTTTCGATCAAGTGGCTTCTTTACATTTCGAACCATTTCTGCTGATGTTGCTGTTTTCATCCGTCCACTTCCTTGACGTCTTGCTACGCTACCAGTATCACGGTAACGAGCGGTGGTAGGAGACACAAAAGATTTATTCACATTTAAATCACGGAGTGCTCTAGCGATAGCCACTTGCAGTTTTCCAGCCAAATATATAGAAATTAATGGAATGGAATGTTTTTTACGCTTGTAAACACTATAATGAGCTGTCACTTGAATAATTTTAAGAGCTGTCGGACGAGTGGCTTAAGAATTCTCTGTATTCATATGATGTCTCTGGAATGCCTGAATCTATTCTCTATATATCTATGTTTCGGTCTCTATATTTTTTCATGGAATACACCTATTTTAATGCATTGATTTGGGTAAGTTTGAAAATATTTAAAAAAAATTGAAATGGTTGAAGTTAGAATCTTAAAATCTTGCATATTTCACCATTGCATTTTAAATTTGTTAAGGTTTTGATATAGAACCCAATTACGCGTATCGAATGAATTTTAGTTATGTTAACCGAAATTCTTATAACTTTGTGGAATGAAAGTTTTCTTTTTCCCCGTCTCCTAATCATTCATCATATGCACTTTTAAAACTTGATTGGTATTTGTTATATATCACTACCAATTGTATATCTTTTTTAATCGTATTTTCAGAAAAATTATTTCAAACTAAATAACATCCCAAATTTATTTTCTAATCACACTAAAGTTGTTAGTTCTACAACTAAAATTTACGCCATATGTTTTATGGAGACCTACTCTAATCTAATCTATTTTCATGGATATTTGCTTTGTTAAATATTTAGATCTGAATGCTAATTAGTATTCATTAGAAACGATGTCATCTCCACACTGATCATAACACCTTTAAACATTAATACGCTCATAATATGCCTATATCGGTCCCCTAAACGACCGACCCTCAATTTGAGAAGCTCTGATTCTGGACAAACAAAAAACTACAATTAAATGGAAATTTCAAGAATGAGTTAACAATTTGGATCAAACCAAAAAACAAATAGGTAGTCTGCTATTGAGGAAGATTTTTCATGTGTGCGTGTGTGTGTGTGAGTTTGTGCATATGCGCATCCATATCAGATGCTTAAAAGAAAGCAGCCACTACAGCAGCAGCAGCAGCAGTGTTAAATGAAATATTAAGATTTTTATCGACCAAATCAAACATTTGCTTAGAAATTCAAGCTCAAAACAAAACCGAGAAATAACAACAACAGCAACTACAACAAGAACAATAGCAACGACATTGCAATAAACTGACTGACGACTGGAAAAAAAGACCATGCAAGACTTAATGGGGGAGAAGAAAACTATAAAGACAACAAACAATAACAACAAAACCAAAACACAAGACAAGACCAGAAAAAAATTTATGACAAAAGACTGGTTTTGTTAACAGTAGACTGTTAACAACATTTAACAGAGCGTGTGAGAGAGAGAGAGAGTGCCCCAACCAAGAGAGTAAGAATTGGCAGGCAGTGAAGCTAAACGTCGCTGCTGCTGAGCATGCGCATAGCAGTTTTACAGAGAGCAAAAAAACCAAAAACCACACAAAAAAAGTTTGACGACTTTTAGCCAACCAACAACAGAGGCACGAACGTACACACAACAAAGCCAGCCATGTGTCTGCTGGATCTGGCCAGCAAAGCCTATGGCTAGATATAATCATAAATGAAATGAAAACGACATCACTTGACATTCCTGAGCAGTGGCGCAACGCAGGGCTTCTCTCGGTCACGGCGTCGTCGTCGTTGTCACCGAGCACAACAAGCTGGGTATGTGTGTATGTTTGGAGACCATGCGAGCGAACGCGAGTATTGATCGAATGTTAGCTTGGTGGTTAAGCTTCATTGATTCTTTTGCTATCGGCATTGTAATTTTGTGTTTTACTTGGTTCACTTCGACAGCGAGCGACACTCGGTCCGTTGAGCGTATAAACGTTTGTTTTGCTTGACGGTTTTTTGTTTTACTTTTTTTTTGGATTAATTCGACGTCATCGCTTTGTTATTGTCGTCATCAAATGTAAAGCAATCAAATATTATCGTTGGTAATGCTTGTGGTAGTTCGGTATTGCCGTTTCTTTTGAACGTGTTTATATGTGAGTGAGTCCTTAACACAAGTGCTGTGCGTTTCATAAAGTTAATCTTTCTTGTATAGAATACCCAAGAATCAAACATCATCATTATCGTCTTCATCACAGCTAACCATCATCAGAACTAAAATAACAACAAAAAGCCTCCCCCCCCCCATCCTCTCTCACCACCTTAATTTGCTTGTGTTATATGTTATTGTTGTCGTCACCGTTGTTGTCGCTGCTCGCAGGCAACCAACCGACATTGGCGGCGACTTCGACGACAACATCACGACGACGAAGAAGAATCAGAAGCAGAAGACAACGAGTGAAAAATGTTAATACTTTTTTCTGTCTGCCAGCCAGCCACACTAATGCCAGCAGTGGTTCGTTCTGTCGGTTTAGTCTTCACTCAGAATCCATTTTATTAATGTGTATTAAAGCATTCATTGCGGTTGCGGTAACTGAAAAAACCGGACGGAAATTTTGTGTAAAAGAATTTAAAGAGTGTCAAGCGAATTATAACAAGAAGAAAAAAATTAAAAGTCGACAAGTCTTGAGTCTGAGCCAACCAAGTGTGTAAGGCATTAAAGTGAGTGAAGAAAAAATCGAAAAATTAAAATAGATTTTCCATAAAGCAAAAAGAAAATTCAAATGAAATTTGAAATCAACACACACAAAAAATAAAGAAAAAATTCTTATACACTATGTGCAAATTTTAAAAAATGAATAAAATAAACAAAATATTAAAAAAACTATAAATATATATTTATGTAGAATATATATTCTATATATATTTAACAAAAGAAGAAAGTTATCAACAAACCATGCAAATGTTTTAAAATCACAATCAAGTTTATTGAAAATTATAACCGAGTTGAAAATAAAGCCAATAACAAGTTATCAGAAGTAAATGCTGTGAAAAACAAACAAAAGACTTAAGAAACAAACGCGTTTAATTCTCTCAGTCTCCAAATGCAAAGAGATATAAACAACATTCAATAAATAATTAATCTCGAGCCTATTTCTGGCTGCAAGTAAACTAATTACACATCACTTTTTCAAAAAAGAAATAAAAAATATATAAAATTGAATAAATGCAAAAATGTGCAACATTTTTATTGTGTTCTTACCATGTAAAAAATTTCAAATCATTTAATAAAGCGGAAATTTGTCTCACTCTTTACAGAATTTAAAAGAAGCAAAACAAAAATAAAAACAAAAGCTTGAAATACAAATATGTTCAACACTGCTATTATTAACATGTGGCATTATTATAAATGAAGCTAAACTAAATTCATAGTGATATTTAAAAGTTATTTTCTTCAACATTATACTATTATTGCATAAATTTTGCATCGTGTAATGAAAACTGCCAATGCAAGTTGTTATTACCACTTGAAAATTACGTGAGTTTAGTGATTTAAATTTAGCCCAACCTATGTTTCACAATTTGTTTAAACAATATATAAAATTCTAATTAAATATCAGTTGTTAATCTATTGATTTTGAAAAGGGTACACCAACAAAAATTTATTCCTGGACGTTAAAAATGCAAATCATTTAATTCTTTTAAAGATACTTAAAGAAATCAAATCGGACAACAAGGTTATCCGTCATCAAAAAACCAAAGACTAAAATTGTGTTGGTGCCTTACAAATATCCAATAATTTTCCGGATTGATTTTATCTTTTAAAATGCACCCATACCTTAAAACCTATGGCTGGGATGACCAGAACAAGAACTCTTTAGACCTAAGGACCTATAAACATAATATTTAATATTTTTATTCCTTAAAAGAATATATGATATATTTTGATTGCAACATGAATAAGATCATCAAACCGGAGATTAAAATTGTTATGGATGTCTACAAACGCTTTTATAAGGCTACGCGAAACAAAATCTTTTTAGAGACAGTTGTTTCTATGAGTGCGTTCCTTTTTTGATTTTTGTATTGTACTAATACCTAAAGAAAGTTTTGGTAAATATTCCAAACATTTGAATAGTTAAGGTTCTCTGTATGCCCAGTGAAAATTACCTTTAGGGCGAAGTACGAGAAGTAGTGAACTAATATTTTTCATGATCTCTCCTGACCTTAATTTAAAAAAATATTTTATCACAGAATAAGTTTGGCCTACATCGAAAAATCGATTAATTTTATATGAGACATATGTTTGAGTTTTTTTTTTATAATTTTTTTAAATTCTAACCGAAACAGTGGAACGTGGAAAATTATTTAAATTTTGGATCTCTTGTGGGGAAGGTACAGAAATGAGTAATAATAGTATTCATAAAACATATCAAATACAGCTCAGAAATACCTCTGCCAAATTGAATCGAGATCGGTTCAGATTTGGAGTGAATTTACGCACTTATGGACGAATTCAGCCTAGAAGCAAGTACTGCAAATTTGGTGAAAATCGGTTCAGATATATCTATAGCTCCCAAATATATGTTTCATCCAATTTGGTCTTTAAGTCCCTCACATTCATAATACGCACTCCACAACAATGATATTTGGTACCAGATATCAGAATTGGAGATGATGATATAATTCACATAAATTCCCAATATACATACATGAGCTATTCTAAATATGCATAGTGGTGTGGGGTATCATATAGTCGGCCGACTTTTAACATTTCCTTACTGTTTTCTTTATTCTTTCGTGGGGGAGGTATCAAAAAAGGTGTAACAATACATTCCATTTCCACACTAGTTCCATTATAAGGCCGGAGATTAATTCACAACGATTTATGGGAAAGGTACAGGAATTAGTCGTCCACTACTGTCAATATTATAAATATTACGATGTGGTTACTCCGATCACCCGATATGATTTAAATTAATTAATTTATTTATTTATTTATTTTTTTTTTTTTTTGACCATTGTATTCATTTTTCACCCCTGCTCTAACATAGTCCACAATATTACGATTTGTAATCAAAACATCGAGTATTGATTTCATGTATCGATAGTTATGTTTGTTCAAAATGTTCCCCTTTTGTGAGGTAGATACTAGAAGGAGTGGTTCAATATTATTTATTTTCGCGCTGACTGAATTACATCATAAAATTTTTAACATTTGTAAGGGATGTACTAAAAATAGTGGAAAGGTATTGCCCATCTCCAAACTCTATTTAATTTGGCAGAAAGATTTGGACCGAATCGGACACCCCCTTCCGTAGTATCAAATAATAGACAACCAAAACATAAAGTTGGTAGGCAAATTAAATTTCTATTTGAAGTTCTCAAAATAACTACTAATTTTACAAATATTAATTTAATTTTTTAAGTTACCTAAACAGAAATACATTTAAAAAAATTGGGGGAGTATTCTTTGTGCGTCCAAAAAAATTGTAAAATGTATAAAAAATATATGAAAAATAACCATTTCAGATGGGACACTCAAGGGCCCCACCTTGCATAAGTCGATCATAAAGTAAAGAGTATAAAAAAATTTTCATTTCATTTATAACTCTTCCATAACTCTTCCATAAAGTATACATGTTCTTGATCACAATAATATTTTAAATCTGGGGCAAGTACATGGTGGGTTCCCCGTGCCAAATATGGTTAATTTCCTGGCGTTGGTATTATATTTAGCGGAAAAAATTTAATTTTTTTGTTAGATTAACTATTACCACCATTCAAAATTACTACCCGTCCTGAAACTGAGACCCATTTTCGAAATGTAAAGGCGTAAATTGAGAGTAAAATTTCATCAGATTTAGCTGTAATTCGACATTTCGGGTTCTCATTGGGTTAGGTTTTTTTTCTCGCAAAAAAATGGTTCTAGTATTTGCTACAGTCCCCACATTTACCATCTGATTAGGTAGATTTTTTTCTCGTAAAAATTTAAAAAATGGTGATCTACTATTTTTTACTATATAAGGATATTTTTTTACTATATAAGGATATTGGTTCGAAGTATTCGACCGAATTCGAGTAAAGAATAAAACTTTCTTGTTTTCGAGAGAGTACGCCAGTTAAAAAAAGAAAATAAATCGATTGTACTCTTTTTCCATGGTAATTTACTCTTGTGAATAAAAAATCGAGTTTCATGCCACTTGAATAAGAGCTAGTAGACTTTGCTCGTTTTCGTTTTGAGAGTAAAATATCGATTTTTTCTAATCTTGCCGAGTACTTTCTTTAGTTTATATAAATATACTCACAACTGCATACAAAAAATCCAAACACTTTGAAGAGCATTGTCCCAATTAATATCGGCAAAGGTATCTTGTTGTTGTAACAAAAACTCTCCTATTCCCAGCGGATTCAAGTTAAATGTATCCAAAGAAACCAGTTTTTGTATTCGATCTGTGTTTGCTTATATGATATCTCGTAATATTCGATATATTGAAGATTTTTGCCTAAACAATGGATTGATCAAATTTTCTACTCAAATTTACTGCCATTTGATACGTTTATATACGAACGAAAAGGAACATTTTCACAAAAGTTATCCAATTTGGCCCTCCACCAATAATTAGTTTGATGGTTACGGTTTTCCGCTGAGTATTTTTTCAAGCATTGGTTGAATTTTTCAGATTAAAATTCCTCGGAGTCCATACATTTTAGTTAAAAAGATCCTTCGGCAATATTGCAAAAAATAAAAAAAGGAATAAATTTGAAAACTTTGAAATTTTAACCCTCGAGCGAGTCAATAAAGGGATCTTTTTGGTCCCTTTTTATTTGTCATAAAATTCTATTATAAGTCCTAGAAGATGTCCTTGGTTTAAATACTGCCCTAACGCCAGGAATTCATATATATTAAAAACACATTTTAGGGTTAAAGCGGTACTTTGTCTGAATTTGTAGAAAAATCAATGTAAAATTTCATTTTGAGTCTCTGAACAAATGTTGTTGTCTGAAAAATGTTGAATTCTGAAAATTTTGGCCTTTTTTCTCATATTTTCGCTGAAAATGTTCTTATCTGGACAATTGCCAGTCTGAATTGATCAAAACCCTTACATAGTTTTGAAAATCTACAAAGAGCCCCTATAGTTTGAGATATATTTTGTAAAATTTAAGATAGAGCTTTGAAAATCGATAGAAATCTGTTGATTACACCCAGAATCATTGGTACAGAAAATTGGCCATATTGATTCACATTTGAAGTAGTCACCTATAAGGATAACTCTTATTTCCTATATTTTTCGCGTTTTTGTCATGTTTTCCATTTAATTCAGCCAAATTTTGGCATTTTGAGCTCTTATTATGTGGAATCGCTATTTACAAAAAATTATCAATATAATTCCACATTTTGGTACAACCATTATATAAAGATACCCCCGATTTAAATTATTTTAAGTGTCTTGACCATATTATCCAATCGACCTTAGTGAAAATGTCTAAAAGTAAACTTTTGCTCTAGACTATTTGCTGCTTATTCCGATATTTATATCAATAATAATAGTAAACCATATTTTGCATCTTCCTATATTAATGTGACGTTGATCTCGAAAAAATCGATAGAACAACCTAACAATTAGTACACATATACTATGTGGAGACTCTCACACCAACTACTGCGATATTCACACAAAAAATGTGCGGTAAAAATACATTCGCATCACTGATTAATT